AAAAGTTAAAATTATAATTTAATATATTTTTATAATTGTCTTTATATGTATTAATGTTAATATTTAAATTATATTTTTTTTTTTTATTTTTATTAAATAAATTTGAGTAAATAAATAAATTCATTCACTCTTTATTGTATAGAAAACAACTGCAATTAAAGCATACGGATAAGATTTTCTTGCCATGTTTTGCCCACCAGATTAATTTGTGCGTTGGTGAGATTTTTAAGGAATCACCAACTTTTAAAAAGGCTATTAATGACACGACTGCCATAGCAGTATATTTTAGAAATACCAATCATGCATATTTTATTGGAAAACTGAGAGAACAGCAAGAAATTTCATATCATAAATATATAACTATTATTAAGCCAGGTTTAACAAGATGGAATTCTTACTTTTATTGTTTAGGAAGTCTTCTCAAAACAAAAGAAGCCCTTAAAGTAAATATAACTAAATTAATAAATCATTATTGTTATTAATTAGTTATAATATTAATCTAAATCTTTTTAGACATTAGTTGCAAGATATGAGCCCTGTGATGATTCGAGTGATGAATCCTCTAATTTTTAAGGTACTTTTGAGTTGTTACTACCAAGAAAAATATGTAATATTATAAATGATGAGAACTGGTGGTGACAAATAAAAAATATAAAGTCTTTATTGTTACCTTATTGTGCTTGTCGCAACTTGTTACAACGTAACAAAGCATGACTATTTGAAGTATTACACACTTTTGGTTACTTGACTAGAATGCTCAAAGAATAACAATTTTTGGTCCACCTAGAAAAATGATGGAATTCTTGGGAACAGCCTTTATTAATATTATCCTTTGTACTTCATCCAATATATCAAATAGAAAAATTTAATCCTAAATTGGAGAACTTATCATGGGTTGATGTAAGTGAATATCTTTTATATTACTATTCCAAATGGTTTAATCAACCATCAAATTCAATATTATAAGAGCTTGAGCTTTTTCGCCAAAAACAATCACCATTTAATGCTATAACATCAAAACAATTTGGTAATGATATAATTGGATACTGGAACCATTATGCATCATGTACTAAAGAATTAGGACAAGTGGCACTACGAATTCATAGAATATGCGTAAATACAGCATCTGTTAAACATCTTTGGTCTTCAATAGGATTTATCCACTCTAATCGATGTAATAGATTACTAGTAAATTTTTTTTTCTTTTTTTATATTATTGTATTTTTTTTTTATTCAATTTATTTTAATTAATTACTTTATAGTTTCAAAAAGTATTAGCAATTAATCAATTACGTGGAATTTTTAATCAAAGTCATCGGGTCCAGGAATTAGATGAACTTAAAAAACTTTATGAATCAGCTTCAACAACTTTTACATTTCAAGAAACTGAAAATGAAGGTAACTACACTGAAATTGAAGATGTTAGTGAAGATGATGAAGATTCTACTGCACTATTGGTATCAAATTCTGATGATGATTATAATGAAAGTGATTTATCAAATTCAGAATCGACTGATAATAATAATGAATTATTGGTTAGTCAAGAGTATATAGTAAAAGATCAAAAGGCTAAGTAGCCATTAAATAATTTGTTTTTAGCTGATTTGGAAGCACCATTTTTTACAACTAACATTTAACTTTCTCAGTAATAAATAGGTCAAATATATGTTTTTTTTTGGTATTATAGTATTTATCATATTATATAATCAAATATACTTTTTATCTAAAATTTATTACAAAAAAATTTAATTGAGCATATTGTTGTTTACACTAGTATGAGGAAATAGAATTTATGTTGGGCTAATAGATTCAAGTACTTTGTTTAAATGCAGAAAATAAATATATTCTGTATGTTAAATTAAAATTTAAATGTCAAGTTTTATAAGGTTAGGGTGAAAGCCTTGTTAGTGTAAGAGTAGATATTTGCAGGATTATAATTATTAATTTAAATCTGACGCAAATATCAATTTGACATTATGTTTTTAATTAATATGTGCATTATAGCAGGAAGATATGATTTTGCCTTAAACATATAACTAAGAATTGTGACAAAGAAAATATGGTCTATGTGAAATCTTTGATGCGCAATTATTAACATATGAAGATAGCATTTAATGATGCTATTTTGAATTTGCTTCCATAAAGGACAATAATCTAGCATCTTTTGTTGTTAGATAGTATAAGCAATTTTACAGTTATAAATAAGTGTATTAGTATAGAGTTACTTGGTACCTTAATATTAGTTGGTCTCTTGATTAGATACAGTGTAATAGCAAAACCTCCAATGTATAAAATTCTTTGCATGTAGTTAGCAAGAAAAAGAGTAAATTAATATGTACTGTATATATTTAGGAATTCTGATGATTGTAGAATCTTTGGCAATTGGAAAATGTGTACTAGGTTGGTGGTGTTATGGTCACAGGAGAGACTTTAGATATTCGTAGCCAATTTAGCAGAGAACCGTAATCATTAACAAGAAATAAACCAACTAATTTATTATCACAAAGGCACCAGAAAGTACAAACAAATATTCTATATCATGTCTCAGACACTCTAAAAATTACTATTACACTTATTTCCTTAGCTACTTAGCAAGTTCCAAACTTACTAAGAGCAAAACATACAATAACCCTAAAGATAAAAGTTCACTAAAAAAAACTAAAAGACCAACCAAAAAAAAATCTAAATCTAACTCACTAATGTATATATCGTTCTATTTATATTTCTAAATAAACTCTAAAGTAAACTTCGTATCATTTAAAGTCAAATTAAAGTATACTTTATACTTTACTTAAACTATTAAATGTTACACTAAAGTATATACAAGTCAATCGAAAGTATATTGGTTATATAGCAAAAGTTAATTCTAAAACTTCGTTGTATAACAGTGGCGCAGACAAAATTCTTAAAATTCGTTTAGATTTAGGGTTGGGTAAAGAGCTAGGGAGGGTAATTTAATAGTAAATTGTTCAACGAAAACTTTTTATAAGAGCATAAGAGGTGGTTTCTTATGCTGATTTTTGAGTTATGCGCAGAACGAACATTTGTTTTAAATCTTCTTGTGTTTATACCTAATCTTGAAAGCTGATTCGTAGATCAGAAGAACTATGTCATACACATTTTCTGATTGCGAATCTTTGATCTTAGATTAAATTTTTTATATATTTCTTCAAGTAGTCTTTAATGTATTTTTTATGATTTATTATATATTTGCTATAAAAATCTATTCTTTATAATATACATATATGGGTCTTTGCCACTATAGAACATAGTAAATCATATGTCTCATAATGTGATTTTTAAGACAAAGATCCCGTATGATAATTTTACAAATAATATTAAAATTAGTAGTAGTTGATTAGACATATTGGACCTGGACTATGTTCAATTTATATGTCCAATGTCCAGTCCAGTCCAATAGCACTAAAATTAGGTAAACATATGTCCAATGCCAACACTGTATTTATTTATAAGTCCCACCATAGACCCGGGCTTATATCATGCATTTAAAGGGTGTTGTATTTAGGGAGAGTGCATTTAGAGAGGTCTAACTATATATAGAATATTATATAAATATTATATTAGATATTATACTCTCTGAGTACAAGTATTAAATTTTAAATTAATAAAGAAGAATTATATTTTTGTAAAATTTATATTTAATAGACAATTCATCTGTTTTTTTTTTTTTTTTTTTATTAACTAGCCTCTTTAGTGTAGAGGTTTTTATTCAAATATAATGGGTGAGGAGCTCATAATGAAACCCTAATTACTTTAGAGAGTACAACTAGCCACACGTATCATCGAGAAACTTTTTTTTAGGGTATATATTGATTGCAATCTCCTAGTTTCTTATCGATATACATCACCCCTGCTGGGTTATATCGATTATAATATATAATGATATATAGCAAAAATTTGTTAACCAACGACCCTGCTGATAGCAATTGATGCAAATCTTCAAAAAAAATTTTCCGATGATGCTTTTTAAGCGTCTATTTAAGTAGTCCGTGTATAGATAACTGTACACCATAGGTTCTACACTAGCTGCTATACCTATAACCCAACTAGGAGATTATCTATTTAAACTCTCTGTAACATATACTGCCCCCTTGTATCACTGGAACACTCTGTTATATTCATTAGTTAAAAGTTCCAGATGCATATCATAGCCTTAGGACTAATTTATCTTTGAAGCATTGTTGCTAGAGCTTTCCATACCCACAAACTGGCTAATCTAGACTTTTGGTAACTTATACCAAGTTCAAGAATAAGTACTTGCAAGCTGAAGCTACTACCATTACCTACTCCTGCCCTTGTAGAGTTTACACAAACTCCAGCATCTACTTTATAGACCATTTACTATTTCACTGGTTTCTAAACTTTCAATCTAAATAGCTCAGAAGGGCAGACTCCTTCTTTGGAATATACTAACAGCCTGGTTGGTATGGTGCCTTGCCAAACACCTCGGTCCTGTCCAGTTTCCAGATCTTTGGTGATAATCCTTTATATAGCGCTATTGAAGATTTGTGCTACCTCTCTACTCAGGACTTGCCAAGCAGGATTTCATGTGCTTCAGCCCTTGGATTTATATAAACGTTTTACTCAGGTTTTGTGTAATTCTTGCATTACACAATAGTTCCATATACTTCCAGTACAAGCTGATACGACCAAAGCTACAGATCTGATGATCTATTAGATTACACACAGTCTGCTGTAACATATTCTGTTAAATTCAAATTTCATTACTAATGGATTCGAACTCTTGTCCTACTGCTTGGGGGTGTGACAACTTACCAACTTCACTAAATTGCCACACTCTACAATTCATCTGTTATCTGAAGTAAATCTGCAAATTTTATAAGTAAATTTTACTATTGAGTCAAATGTGAAAAAATTATATTAAAACTTTTTTTCTTACTAAGTAAATCACTTTGAGTTTATAATAAAAGTTGTAGAGTTTATCAATATGCATCTAATAGTGATAATAATATTAAAATCAACTCAGTGTTTTTAAAAAATCTCCAAAAAACATTTTGTTGACATATAAAATTTCTTTAAAAAAAATTGATTTTTCTTAAAAAAATTTTATATATTAGCAAAACATTTTTCAAAGATTTCTCAAGAACAACCAGGCTAATTTTAATATTCTTATTACTATTAAATATATATTGATGAGTTTTACAACTTTTATTATAAGCCCAAGAGTAATTTATTTAATAAAAAAAAGTTTTAATGTAATCTATCTACATTTACTAATTGAAGAATTTATATATAATTTATATATAAATCTTGTATAACCTGCATTACATAGCTCTTCAGATGACTAGCAAATCATTTATTAAATTATAAGATAAAAAATTTAACTTATTTTTTTTTTTTTAAATGAAATTTTGCCTTTATCTTTATTGATATTTTGTATTAAAAATCTATTAAAGGTTTCTTTAGCCAAGTTACAAAAATTTTACAAAAATAAAACTCAAACTACCAAAACTATCTAAATTAAAATTCTGATTTATTTGCAATCTAAATTTATTAGATTAGTTAAACTTATCTAGATTTAATAATATAAGATATTATTTGTTAGTATATTATATTAAATCTATATAATAGTCTATAAAGATATTTTTTTAATTATCTTTTTAAGGAGTTAATATATATTATTATTATGTTGTTGATTAGATAACTCACAAAAACAGCTATATATATATAATATTCTGCAGTATATTATTATTATTATTATTTTTTATTTTTTTTTTTTTTTAACCTTCACAATATTATAAAAAAGTAAATTTTTATTAAATATTTTAGTAGTACATTATTGGTTAATGATAGAGCTGAGATCCTTTAAATATCTATTACGATTATTTAATGAATATTCGCAAATTTTAAGCATTTGCGAATAATAATAATAAATAAATATACACATTTTATATAGATATTTATAGAGAATTCACAAATATTCAAAAAATTTACAGGTATTAATAAATAATTTGCAAATATCCAAAGAATTTGCAGATATTCATAAAAAATCTGCAAATATTCAGAGAATTTGTAGATAATTTCATTTCTTATATTTATCAAATATTCTATAGAATATTCACACAAATATTTATACAAATATTTGTACAAAAAATATTTGTACAGAATATCTACACAGATATTTGCACAAATATTCATATAAATTATTTGCACAGAATATTCTTAAATAATTCTTGACTGTTTACAGATTTTGTATAACAGAATATTTACATATTAATTGAATATTCATTTTATTTGTGAATATTTATAGGTCTTATCTAGTTAATGAGAGTATATTTAGCCACATGTACAACTTTTAGTTGCCTATTTAAGTAGTTCACCTGAAGGTTCTATACTATATACTATATTTGTAACTAAGAGATTACAAACAGCTTTTTGAAATTAAACAAGGAACAGACACAGTCGATACTTATGTTAATCGATTTAAATGATTATATCATCGAGTAGACATATTTAAACTCTCTGATGTTCTCATTCTGCATCACTACTACAATTATGCCAATCTATAACCTTGTACTGCTTCAATTAAAGGCTA